TGAGTTGGTCTCTATATCTTCTTCGTTTCTTTCCTAAATTATCTATAGTAACATTCTGTTTTTTCTTTCGTCTTCTTTTGCCTTTCCCACATTGTTCAAGTTTTTTCCCAACTTTTTGAAGACCTTCACTTCCATGCTGTTTCAATGCTTCACTTACTGAGCGACCTTGTGAAACATCTTCGAGAATATTTTTTCCTACATTTACAGCTTCATTTCCTGCAGTTGTGGCTATATTTTTAACAATAGGCATTAAAAAACGCCCTACAGCCCCAAGTACACCAAATCCTCTTTGATACCTAGTTCCTTGGAAATAACGATTATCTTCAAGTAATCTTCCTCCTCCGTCTTGAGCACTAAAAAATGGCTCCCAGTCAATTTTATCTATGTCTAAACTAACGTGTGTCATGCTTTAAAATATTGAGCGTTGAAAGTGTAATGTTAATATACAAGTTCCCCAATGGAATTTTACTAGATTTCCAGTTAAGGTTCGAATTTCAATAGTAATGTCTGGATGGCGTTTACCTAATAAACGATGATGATGTTCGGTCATATATACTTCTGAAACACTTTCTCCAGGTTCACCAGATACATTAACAACACGTAATAAAGGTGCAGTTACGTTACCTATTATGCTATTTTCAACAAGTTTTGGTGCATAAACTAAAAATTGACGCACACCTCCAGATATATCAGGCATATACTTTGCGACTTGTCCACTATGAACCTTCTCAGAATCGAAACCAAGAGTATAAGCTAGTTGACGACTTAATTTAATGAATTGTACGTTTCCTTGCAAGAAGACATGAAAACGCTTATGCACTTTATCGTATAGTATGGAAACCCATTGATATTTTGGATCAGCGAGTTGTATATTTGAGAAACTAAGAAGCATTTTTAAATATTCAGGAGGATAAGCATATTCAGCTAGATGTAGTTTCTTAGGCTCCGAGTCATTTAACTCTTCAGATTCTTTTTGTTCATTTTCTTGTTTTGGAAGTTCTTTTTCTTTGGCTTTATCTGCAACATCTTTGTTTGAATCAAAAGTCCCACCACCAAGACCAAAGAAGCTTTTCCAAAAAGGAGGTCTTTCAGGGGGATCTCCAATTAACATTTCAGGACGAGGGAGCTCAGGTAGCGAATTTAGATCCTCCGGCTGAATTTCTTCTGACTCTGGTTCTTCTTCAATTGTGGGAAGATTACTCACTTTTTCAGGAGGAGTCCATGCCGCTTCCTTATTAATTATTGCTGGAGATTCCTGTGGCTTTCCTAAGCCTTCATTTACAGGGGACCATGGTTCTACAGCGTCTTCTTCACTTATTGTTGGAAATTCATGCGACTCATTATCTTCAAGAGTGTCCATTGAATGTGGTACAGGCTCTTCTAAGGGGGGAGTCCAAGGCTCTTCATCTTCATCAATAACTACTGGAAATTCCTGAATCTTTTCTTTAGAAGATTCTACATGCTCCTCAGTGACTTCTTGTTCAATTTCCTCACGAGGTTCTATATTTTTTTCATCTTCGTGTGTCGTAGACTCTTGAGGCGTTTCAGTGACTTCTTGATCATATTCTTCATGATGTTCTATATTTTCTACTTCTACGATTGTCGAAGGATTTGCATCAGTTTCTTGCTTATCTTCAGAAGTTTTTTCAGCGACTTCTTGTTCATGTTCTTCATGAGGTTCAATATTTTCATCCTCTACGATTGTCGAAGGATCTTCATCATTTTCTCGAGTATCTTCAGATGGCTTATCAGCGACAACATCAGTTGATTCATCCTCAATATTTTCCTCTTCATGTGTAGAAGCCTCTTTAGCATTTTTTTGCGTATATTCAGAAGTTTCTTCAGCGACTTCTTGTTCATGATCTTCGTCAGCATTTTCCTCATCTGTAGGTGCTGAAGGTTCTTCATCCTTTTCGTGCATCTCTTCAGATAACTCTTCAGTGACTTCATCTATCGAATCGGCCTCTTTCTCAATATTTTCCTCAGAAGGCTTGCTAGCATTTTCTTGCGTATCTTCAGAAGGTTCTTTAGACTCTTCTTTATTTATTGATCCATGTTCGACTTGACTTTCATTATTTTCCTCTTCATGTGTCGAAGTCTCTTCATCATCAGGAGTTGTAATTTTTGCTGATGAAGTTTCATCGTCTTGTTTTGAAAGTTCAGCTTCAACTTTACCTATAATTTCTTCCGATAAAAGTTTCTGACCCGCAACAGCTTCTTCAACTTGGCTGGCTAATTCTTTAACCTTTTGTTCTGCGGTCTTAGCACGATCTGCAGCTTTTCGTGCCTCAGTAACATCGCCTCGTGATTCTGCCGCTATAGTTTCTATTTGTGCATCTGAAACCCTATCTTTTGCCTCTAAACATTCTTGTATCCATTTATCTATTTCATTTCTTCGACTAAACAATAGTTTTAATTGTGTTACAACCAATCTTAGAATGGTTGCAGGTACTTGTCTCTTAGTTGCCCCCGTCTCATTTAATGTTACCTCTTCATCTATTAGTGCATACTTATAACGAGCATTTTCCCAATATTTCTGATTAAGTTCTTTATTCAGTTGTGATTGTTGCTTTGCCAATTCTACACTGTTAGTCAATGACCTTGTAGCTGCACGCACAGCCATATCTATTAAAGTTTTTTGTTCATCTCTTAGATTTGGCGAAGTATCAGATAAAGGTGTTATCTTTCCGTCTAAGGGAGTTTTATCCTTTTGCGTTTCAGTATCCAGTCGTATATCATCCGATTTTTCTTCAGAAGATACTGGAGCTTCAGTAGGAGCATCTAATACAGGAGACTTTGGAATAGGAGGATCATCAGTTATAGAACTATCAGATGTAGGTGAACTTTCTGTTTTTTCACTAATTTGATTTTTAACATGAACTTGAGAGGGAGCAGGCGTATCTGTTTCAGGATTTTTATCAACATTTTCCACTAAACTTGCTTCTTGAAAAGGATTTTCAGGTTTATGCGCGGAAGTTGATGCAAAACTTTTAATTGCATTTATTATTATATCTTTTTGCTCAGTTTGCGGCTTTAATCGAACAGTTTCTACAGAGCTGTCCGGTACCGAAGATAGAACTGGAAGTTTTGCCCCCTTAATTTCTTTATTTAAATACTGTATAAATTTATAAGCACGATCCTTTGGCATATCGAAATAACCTTCCGTTTCCAATTGTTGAATGAAACTTTCATGCCCAGCAGCAGGCAATATTTCTTTTTGCTTAAGCTCAGGTTGCGTTTGAGGAGTAGATTCACGGGTTTCTTCCATAGGAGCAACATTTGAGTGTTCTTCTTCAGTTTGGTTGGCTGAGGCAGGATTAGTAAATTCATCAACTGCCTGTTTGATCCGCTCTATTTGATCTTGATTTGGAGTGAAACGAACCATTTCTATACCATCTATTGCAAGAGGTCTTATTGGAGGTAAACGAATTCCTTGTTTCCCTAAAAATTTCATGAAATTAAATGCAATTTCCTTTGATAAATCAAAATAACCATTTTTAACTAATTGTTCGCTTATAGTCTCAACAGCTCGTCTTCTTCGAAAATTCCCATAAATTCTTTTTTTATTCTCTTCAAGTCTCATTTCCTCTCGCTCGCGATCCAATTCCTTTTTCCAAGCATCAAGCAAAACTGCATTTATGGCCTCTTCCAATGCCTCTTCTGAGGCAAAAGACAAATCTGCAAGTTCGATACGAACTGACAAAAGCTTTTTACCGTATCGACGAAAAATCGTAATAGATTCTTGCTCATCAGAATCTCCAAGTAAAGAGAATGAAAACGGGTAAATAATATTTGAAAGTGCAACAGTCCAACTTGAATCTAATTCAAGCGTGTCAGGCATCCTTACGGTAAACTTTGAGGTAGTATTTCCTTCAACATCTCCAGAATTTGAAGGTAAAACAACATAAAATGAATCCATGGTTAACGTCGAACTATGTCGCTGTCGTTTACCCAACTGTTATGAATATCTTTATAACCAACCCAACGCACAAAGTGTTGTTTTATCCCTGTACGTGTAGTACGAGTCTTTAAAATTTCGGCAATACGATGAGTAGTATCCTCTTGTGTGGGAACCAACTCTTCTCTATAGAATATTCCTTCAATTAGGTTGTCTTCAAAATCTTTTAACTTATATGTTATAGGCGAACGTGTGTCGTTTGTTGTATGTACAAGATAAAGTTCGTCAGTATAGTTAGGTAAATATCCTTTTTCAAATTTACCCTTTTCTTTAGAAATGCGGACAACTTGTCCAGGCTCGAGTTTAGAAGTTGTTTTAATAGGTGTACCATTGCCCTTATATAGCCTCTCAAATAATTTTCGAGAATTTTTAAAAGTAACTGAATTAGGTGTAACTCCTGTAACACGGTTTACGCTAGAATTTATTCCCGAAACAATTTTCTGAATAGCCTCAACCCACCGCAGTGTGTTTTTTTCACTGAAATATCGATATAATCTTTCCTTTATTGTACGATTCGCCCTTTCTGCCATTGAAGCATGCACATCAGGACTATAAACTACACGCTTATCAATATCCTTTGATCTAAAATAATCCCTCATTTTTTTAGCCTCAAATTCTAACCCGCGATCCGTGTATAGTTTATGAGGCAAGATACCATTAGAAAGTTTGAAAATTTTTTCAAATGCCTCAATCATATCTTCTGATCTCTTTGTCTTGACCGGCGAAGCAAAAATCATTCGACTTAGAACATCAATACATACTAATAGATACCTGTTACTATCATTATGTTTAGCTATCTGATCAAATATTGCTAAATCTGCCTGCCAATCAGTGTGAAAACCACTTGGACGTGTAACTAGCCTTGGGAAATTTTTTCTGGAGGGTCTATGCATGGTATACACTCTTTGCTTATGCAAAAAATTATAAACATACTGAAATTTTATCTTCGGATATTTGCGCTTCGCTTCTTCATAAACACGATTTATTCCTGCATAGGAAGCAGAAGAATTCAAAGAATAATATATTTTTGATAAAAAATTATCTAAAGCTTTTCCCATATTTGTGGAATAAATTTATTTTTCTTTTGCAAATTTATAGGCAGGACTTTTACTAAAACTCTTTTCTTTCTTTTCCCGCTACCTGATTGACTACCAGAACTTTCCTCAGTACTACTTTCTCCTTGCGTCTCTTTGATCATTTCTTTTACTAATGGGTCTTTGGATAATCGATTAAATAGAAAACTAAAACCTTTAGGGGGTGACGATATATCACCTTGTACATATTCGAGCACTTGAGTGAAATTACTATTCTTTACAAGTCTTCCTTTGACATTAGATTCAAAGCTTCCATTCTTACGTATTCTAAATTTTTCAGCATTATCTTTGACATAATTTTCTAAATCCTTCGAATATCTTTTTGAAATAATTCCATTAAAAGTTGTTGTTTTTCTTCTTTTCATTAGTTTTGGCGATGTAAATTCTGAATCTGTTTGATATTCTGAACTTGATTTTACAGGTTGTAACTGTGTTTTAGGGGCTGCAGTTTCCTTTAGATAAGGAGCAACTTCTGGAGCTCTTGCTGTTTCATCGATTATCACCTTTTGAGGCCTATTTTCTAATTCGTGTTTGAGTTGTCTTCTTTTTTTATATAACCAATTATATTTTTGGGCTTTTACATCTTCACTTAAATTTGGATCAGTAAGAGTCTGTTTAATCTTTGAGTCGGTTTGTACCTTTTCATTTTGAAGAAAATCTCCGCCTTTAATCATGCTTAGAAGTGCAAGATATTCACTTTCAGGAACCATAATCATCTTCTTTGTATGTTTCATTCTTGTGAGAATCTATGAATTATATGTTCAGCTAAAGCTCCAAGGACGGGTACGAGTATAGCGGCTAGAGCGGCACTACCCCCTTGTTGTATTCGACTTCGGGCGCTCTTTTCTGTACGTGTTCGCGCGATAGCTCTATAGAAATCAGCAAACTGGGCTAATTTCTTGCGTTGTCTTCTACTTAAAGTAAAATTATTTTTTAAAATATTAGCACAAATTTCCACTATTGCTAATATTTGATCCGCACTGGCTGAAAGAATTAAGGCGTTTTTCTTTTTATCTGAAGATGTTTTAGCTAAGCGCTGTAAAAACTCAAAATTTTCTTTAACGTATGGACTATAGTTATACATTTTTTAATTTAATAGTTTTTGAGTACTTATATATTATAGAGGCAAATATATAGTCTGTTTTTCACCTGGAAATATTTTAGTAGAAAGACGTAAATTCTCTTCCGTACTTGGATGCATGTTAATTAGCAAATATGAATATTGCTCAGAAGTAGCATCGCGATAAGCCTCAAGAAAATAGTTTAACATTTTTGGAAAAAGCTGAGACCCGAGTGTGCGTACCTGAAGAAGTCCTTGAGGATTTTTTGTTAGAAGAATATAATGGGCATTTGCACGTGCTGTCCTGATATCTCGCCCATAAAGTGATTGCGTTACAAAGATTATACTTACACCCCAATTGTGCGATCCCCGAGTAAAAAGTAAATCTAGAAATTCAACTGGGATATTTAGCATCAGGTCATCTAGGACTAATAATTGGTGTTGTTTAATTAGCTCAACTTCTGTAACACCGTTATAAGTTGTAATTCCCATCTCTTTTAACTTAAATATATTTTCGTTCATTTCGCCAAAACAATATAATATTTTATTAGGTGCAGGTTCAACTAATTGGTTACAATTTGCAAGAAATTTCATAAGCCATTGGGTTTTCCCGCTGCCTGTGGCACCGGAAATAACCATAGTGAAAGGAGCTTTGAACATTTTTATTTTAGAAAATACTTTTAATATTTTCATTTATATATTACAGATGTTTCCCAAAGCAATTATTCAAAATGTTGTTTCTACGGCGCAACTACTTGAAATAAAAGATAAATTTGACCTATATACACTTGCTACTATTATCAAAAATGCAAAATATTCTCCAGAACGTTTCTCAGCACTTATAATTAAACTCGAACAACATCTTAGGTCTACAGCGCTCATATTTTCTAACGGAAAGATTGTATGTGTTGGAACTAAATCTGTTAATGATTCAGAAATTGCTATTAAGAATTTTGCTCAGCTTCTATCCTCAGCATGTAGCTTAATGATAAACATAAAATCATTTAAAATTCAAAATATCGTGTCCTCATTCGAATTTCCGGGACATCTTAATTTACCAGGTAATTAATTCATGAATTGAATTATTATTTTAGCTTTGTATGATACTATGAGAATAGCTCCACCACAATGGCTGGCTCGGCATATTTCTTACAACCCAGAATTTTTTCCTGGAATGTGCTTAAGGATTAAGGAGCTATGTTCAGTTGTTATAGTCTTTACGACAGGAAAATGTATAATTACCGGTGCACGCACAGAAGAAGAAGTTTATAATGTTCGAAATAAAATTTATGAATCAATTTTAATGTTTTTGAAGAACTAATAAATACTTATGTTAATTTCGCTTCGTAATTCCATTAAAAGTTTTCCAAGCATATTATCGCCTTCCCATTGGCTAGGATCTTTAAGACGGGCACTTTTCGGGCTTATACCGCTGCTCCAGTGTAGTTCAGATGCTGACGCTTGCGTAATAAGTCCATCACCTGTGGCACGTAATTGGTTGAATAGTTGTATGTTCTGCGTGAATTTCGCCCAGAGACCAGTGTACATAACCTAATAATAATAAAGGCTAGATTAGCAAAATAAAAAATTTTACTTTATTGCGAACAGAATTCCATTCATCATGGTTATATCCACGGATACGTTTACCAATTCGTCTAATAGCTAAAGGATTATTTAGCATTAAAACTTGGCTAGCTATTTCCAAATCTCCAAAAAATCGCGCTTTCTGCCAAATAAAGTATTGTTCAAGTGAACTGAATGTCCTTCCCAGCAACGTGAAATTAGCTCTAAAACGATTATCAAACCCAAAATGTTGAGAATAGAATACAAATATATTTTGTTGTTGATCTCCAATAATTTCTTCAGGAGGATAAGATTTTGTTTCATGCGTTATATGTAGTCGCTCAAGAATGCATGTTGTTGTTTCTAAAAATTTTTAGGTCAATATTTAATTAACTGATTACCTATTTTATTATCGCTGATCATAATGCCTTTTAAAAAATAAAGTATAATATAAAAAATTTTAAAATATATAAAGCATTGGTAATAATATAATTATAATATAATAATAAAATAAAGCATATATTTATTCAAATTTAATCAAGATGTTGGATCATTAATGGGATTTCCCCTGTATCCATAAGGATAGCAGTCAAAATTTGCATCAACAATTCCTTTGTCGTAAATTGGAGCGTAGCGTCTGGAAATTAGATACTAAAAAAAGTACTTATAAAATACCTAATTTGAGTCCGACTTATGACTTGCCCTTGGCGCCAGCTAGGTTGAAAATGAGTTCTCTCCAATACTATAGGATCTTGCTTATCACCATAGGCTTCTACCATTTTCTTAACAATAAATATTATATCAAAACTAATAATAAGATACCTTAAAGTGATTATAGTCCAGTGGAGTGTCAACCTGATCCCAACATCCACGACACTTGACAATGTATTTTATTTCTCCGCTTTTTCTATTCTTCATTTTCATTGCATACTAAGATGATACTTGTTTAAGAAAATTTAAAATTTAAAACCTGTTTACATCCTCCAGTATAGAAAGACATAATAGTCCAATCTTCATATTCACGACTCATCATTCCAAGCATATCGCCAACACGAAAGGGTGGTTGCTTAATGATCTTATGTAAATAAAAACAGCTATCAGTATCCGTGTATAGTAATTTGCAGTCATTGTCATTAACAATCTTATCCATGTATTCATACAGCATAACTCGTGCTGTTGCAGTTGTAATAAGAGCCAGTACAATGTTGTATTTGTCATGTGGTCGCACAAATTCTCGTCGATTTCGGTACGGGACAGCATACAGATTTGGAGTTAACATTTCTATTGCTCCTATTTCCAACTTTGGATCATTAAGAACGGTATGTAGTTTGATTGGCGAGCTTGTTATGCAATCTTTGGTCAAATTACAACGAAGAGCCCAACGTCCCCACCTAAAATATGAATAAACTAATCAATTTCTTGCTTACATAGAATTATTGCATGTTTTGGCTAGGTAACGCAATCCTTCATTTCTGGCAATTTGTGAGGGTTGAAGCGTAATACCATATTCTTTTTGATTTCTTGTAATATAATCTTTTTTGAGTTTTTCTTCTAATTCATTGTTTTCGGGTTTCAGAATACCGCTCGGCCAACCGCTGGCCTTAAAATAAAAATTACATGCTATCATAATTTAAACCTCAATTTTCAATCTCATCATATCCTGAACATAAGGGCGGAGCAAAGTATCAGACCATTCATTCCAATTATAGATGCTATAAACTTTATTGACGCGATACCCCTTTTTCAATGCAAGTTCTAATTCAACAGTACACGTAGTGCTTACAAATCCTCGCTGCATATCGTTATGTTTGCACCATTTTTTGCCAATCTCTCGGCTATATTTTTGTTCTTTGCGCTTTGGTACGCCTGGTTCCATTTCAATTGCACAACGATGACATAAATGGAAAATCTTCAAATATCTAGGACTCAGAAAATTACTTACTAATTTGCCGTTTATTCTTTCAGGAATTACAGGTAGATACAGGTCATCGGGTGGCACTATGAAGACTTTAAATATTCCTCTATAAGGCCGCAAGTCCTCAGGAAATCTCCAATTTACATCAAGATTAAGATCAAGTACATCGGGGTGTCCTAAAAACTTAAATGCTTTTAGATTAAATAAAATTACCTATCGGATAAAAAGCATAGAAATTCACTGCTGGATATAGACTAACCACGTCAAAGCAAGAAATTTCATATTCATCATTATCTTCCAAATTACACTTTAGAGATAAAGGCCCCGTTCTTCCACCTAAATTACTCAGTAATATTAATTATTGAATCTGAAAACCATGGAATGCATCTCTAGGAAATAACGGTCCAATGTCTGGTAGCTTGCCAAAGAAAAGTGACATTGATGGATCATCATCCAAAGCTTTATTTATTTCGCACTCCCAAAATGTGTATGTACAGATACCTTCCTCTTTCAACAAATTAATTCTTTCTTCCAATTTATCTTTATTGTAAAGTGCTGTTTTGCCGTTTAAACAGATTTCATGTTGACGGTACAGACTAAATTGATAAATTATTATATAAAACTACTTTACCATTCATGTCCGTGCCATGCGCATCCGAGGAACTCTATTGCTATATCGGTTCCCCCCTTGTTTCCTTTGATGTAGCCGTCAAGACGTAACACACTTCCATTTGAAGCAAAAACTCTATACTCTCCTTCCGAGCTTCCTTGATGTTGTATTTGAAGTCCAGTCCTATGTTCTAACCATTTAATAAATTTCAAAGCTATTGTAGACTGATTTGAATATTTGTGATATCCGTTGTCTGGTATAATACCGATTTGGTTACTTTTCAAATAATTAATACCTAAATATAAATAATAGTTATTAAAAGTTTTTAATTTTACAAAAATGTCGGAGACAAGCACTAGCCAATGTCATAGAAGAAACAAGGACATCATCTTGTTTGGAAGGCTCTGGAGCAAGTTCAAAAAATAACTTTTGAAGTTTTACAAGAGCATGTGCAAGTATACGTACGTCCTGCTCACAATATTCGACAATTTTTTCTTTAAGGCAAAACTGTTCATTTTTGTTTGATAGGTACCATTCTTCAAATTCCTTTCTTCTTTGGTTTCCCATTGAATTCGGATAGTAATATTTTTTATCTGGTAATCCATCAAGACGCAAATGCATGTTCTCGTTAAAGTTCCATCCATGAGGAAAGAAAGATTTTCCTCCTTCATCGATTTCTAAGCCAAGTGCTTTCGGAAGCTGGTCTAACTTGAGCATCATCCAATTAAACGAATCACGAAATGATATATGCGGACATATTCCTTTTTTCTTTCTTAGAAGCACCTTGTAGAGTTTATTTCCTGTTCTTGTAATATTCGCTCAAATCCAAAATGCCTGATTAATTCGCCCAATAATAAGTGCATATCATAACGTCTAAATAATTATTGACTTAATTATTTGTAAAAACTCCCACCCTCCATAATGGGAAATAGCATATGTGCGACCAGTTCTCTCTTTTCCAAGTCCAGAAATTAACCATCTAAGAAATTCCCGCAGCGGATTATCATAATTTGCCCCTGTCCAGCTTTGCATCCTTGACATTCCTGGATTGCAGTTTTTACATGTTCCCAAATTTTCTTCCATCCAGTTATTATTTCTTATACAATTTGAGCAAAATAACATTGCCTAATAGATTTTATCGTTAAACATTAAGATACAGATATTACCGAAACACAATTCACGTGGTGAAGTCGATAATTTTCATCTAAATTTTTAAATTCATCTGATCTTCCTCTACCAGGAGTTAAGAGTTCACATTCAAAATCAAATACAACCTATAAAGTTATTTGATTTTTAAAACTTATTTTAAAGCTTATTAGATTTATAAAGCGTATTACCATTAGATAATTAAGTTTTTGTTTAGGAACAATTTGCTGTACAAAGCAATGCTCTTCTTTTCTATGCAAAGAATGACATAGCGAACAATAACGCATAAAACAGCTGTGCCCTTCATTATTATTTACACGATAAATCTGACCACATTCCTTGCATCTATTTTAAAATATTTTAAAATAAATACTAATTAACCTTTTGAATATTCTACATATTTCTTTCTCCAAATGTCGTTTATAACAGTTGGGATTCCGGAATATATTAGAACACTTTGAACAATATAATTCAAACCCGTCTATTTGTTTACAAGGAAAATCCGCTCCCATTCCACAGCAACGTGGACATTTTGCAGAACATGTTTGTCGGTGTTTATTCCTTTCGTGGTAGGTAGATTCGCACTCAAGACAATAATATAAATCTTTGCCAAAAAGAGAATTGAGTTTTCTAATGCCATAGTAATGACCATCTTTTATGTATAAACTAATATCTTTTTTTCCTCTATCATTTCCTTTCCAAATTGGACGAGTTTGACCGTTATCCCCAAAAACAGATAGCCTGTATTGTCCAGGATAGCACTCATTCAAAAATTTTTGTACCAATGGAACATGTTCTTCCGCATTATAATATTTTAAATTTGCTGGATATCTGACTCCTTGCTTTTTAAACTGAATAAGCATATCCTTGATCAAATTGCGGCGATATAACTTTGCTCTTGCTCCTTTTCCATGCACAAGTCTTTGAAATTTAACATTTTCATTTGTTGATTTTTCCAAATTGATATATCTCATTGTAAGTTGAACAGCTAATAGAAGACAATGATTTTTGAACGATTCACCAAGATCCTCATTTCGAACCTTAATTTTTAAATTGATTTTTAAATTTACTAAACCTCTATAAGATTGTTAACATCTATGCCTTGTAAAATTTCTCTTCCTTTTCGGCCGCTTCCACTTTGCTCATTTTGTATTAAAGCAAGGGCTTCATCATGTGACGGCCCGATAACGATCTGTTCAAATACATATATTTTAGTTTTAATTAAATAATACTTCAATATGTATCGGTTGGCTATAGAGTGATGGTCTTCCCATTCTTTTTCCACTTTGATCTACAGAATCAAATTGCTCCATGACAACTTGTGGTGTGTTTTGTGCTAGACCTCTATATGGAATTTGAATAGGCTTTTCCAACACTGCGCTCCTGATTATTATGGAACATTTTTCTGATTTTGCTCCCGATGACTTGTCCGCCTTGACAATGAAGTGGTCAATCAAATCTTCTAAAAGTTGGTCTGTTCCTTCAGGAGCATCTTCAACATTTGTAACAGTGAAAACATTTCTTAAATATTAAAAAATAATTTGATTTTTTTAAACCTGAAAACTCCTATTTTGAATCTAGTGCTGTTAATAGTATCTGATGCCTCTTCTTTGTAAAAGTGATTAACAGAATATTCTCCAAACTTTTTAGAATATTCCATCTAAAAACTAAATTAAAAATTTTTTAAATTATTAGGTAAAAATTGAAAATAACATATTAGCAAAAAAAAAGAAAATAAGTTTAATTGTTTATTCTTCGGAAAATTGATATTAAAATACTTTTAGCCTTTAATCTGTTTTTTCGATAATTTTAGGTACAACTTGTTCTTCAAAACATTCTTCAGTTTGTACTTCTTTGTCTTCTTTGTTGGGTTGGACCGTAATTAAAGAATCAGTGTGCTCTCTCATAAAAATTATTGGCGAATCTAAATTTTTAAAAATTAATATATAGGGTTGTAGGCTAGCCTTCTCTCGCGATTGGTCCGTGAATGCTCGCATGTTTATTGAAAATTTTGATTGCCATCTCTAAATCTATCTTCGACCAGAATTTGCTAAATGGATTATGAAGCTCAAGATATAACTCCTCTTTTACAACCTCAGTAATTGCCTAAATTTGTTTTATAAGTTTATAAAAAAATTTACAATTTTTGCTAAAGCATTTCTCTCTCTAAGTATATGTTCATGCACTTGACTCTTGGAAAGTGGATAACGTTGTTCATGAAATTGCATGAAAGCTTCATATAGTTCATTCTTCAGCATATTGTCATCTTCGCGCACGTACTCCAGAGTATTTAGTTGACGGGAGAATCGAATGACGCTTTCCTTGAGACCATCAATTGCTTGCTCGTACATTTCTTGATCCATCTTAAATTAAAAATATTCTAAACTATTAATTAGAATAGCACCTTTAAGTCAGATAAAATATATTTTGCTTAAATTGATCTTGATTTAAAAAATTGATTAAATATTTTAAAGATATTAAAAATCGAATTAACGATTTTGCAGTAAATTCAATAAAAAAATTTTTACTCAAAAATTATTTAATATAAAAGATTAATGTTATTTTAATAGTTGTCTATTTTCTAGTTTTTGTTGACATTATTGTAAGTCTTTTGTAGGTACTCGATGTTGGCCGGCGAACAAACGGTGCAAACCTTAATTACGATAATTGGTTTACTAAAAATTAAAAATACCAAGAAACTAAGCTCGAATTTATCAGCACTTTTCTGAAGATATAGGTCACTTGCCATTTTCTTTGTAAGTTCTGAACACTGTGAACACTAAAAAGAAAAATTTAAATATTTTAGAACAATATACCTGATGAAGAATCCAGCAATACTTCATAAGGTTTAACAATTTTTTATCTTTTCCTTTTATAATGCCAGCACCTCGACAAAATTTCAAAACTTTCTCATCTTGAAATATAATTGTTTCAATATTCATTTAAATAATTTTACCATTATCAAATTTTGACGCTTGCGAACCTGATAGCAAATATTTTGAAGAGTTGCCTGAAAATTCAATAAACATAATTAATTAATTTTTACCAAAATATCCATTGTAGTGCATTCCTAAAGAAATATTCTTATCCAAATCTTCTGCGCACAATTCTAAGGTCAAGATAGACAATCCTGCATGTCCGATTTTATAGAGAAAATATTCCCTTTTCTTCTGGTGGTTGCGGCAAGACTCACACATATATACGAATATACCACTGCGAGGATTCTTAAGAATTTGGGCTCGGCTGAGTAGAGCTTCAGGCACAACAAATTTTTTTCGTAGTTTTCCTAAGATTTTTTATTAAATAAAAAGATTTAAAAATTACGATCAAGTCGCATTTTCTTATACTCATCTTCGTTTTCTCCTAAATCAACTTCTTCGTCTGAGTCGGGATCAGTTGACTCATCTTCATCCTCTTCCATTTGATAATTAAGGATCGCCTGATGCAGCTCTTCTTCATCTTGTTTTTCTTTTTCTGAAGGTCCATTTGCTTTTTCAACAATAGACTTTAATTTAAAAAATATTAGTAATTTATAATTTACATACCTTAATAACAGGATCAAAAATATTTTTTTGATCGTCAGTTTTTTTCTCTGATGTTTTAGCTTTTTTGGACGTCGGCGTTTTGTTTGATGACGAAGAACTCGTCTTCGTCACGGAACGTCTTCTTCTAGCTTCTGCGGCATCTTTCTTCTTTCTTTGGGCCTTAATAAATTCTCTCACTTCTTCCATCTCTTCTGCAGTTATAGCAGCTGAAAAAATAAAATGAATTTTGTTATGATTCAAACCTTCAACAGCTGCGTTCTTTTGGTTATCGATTGATTTAGTTTTTGAAAACAAATTTTATATTTACATACTAGGCAGATAACTTACCATTATCACGTGATGAATCATCATCGAGCAAGATTGGGTCATCTAATTAAAAATTATTAATTATATAATTTAATTACCTTTTTTAGTAGCAGCTTTCGAATTTGTATTCATTTTTGGTTGTTAATAATGTTGATTAATAAATTTGAATTGTAATCAACGCTTTTAATTTGAAGAATTTTTTAAATTATTTAAAATAAAGGTGGATTTTTCGTTAAGTCTTTAATCTAAACAATAATGGATTTTACTAAATTGCATTAAATGTAAGTAAAAAAATAACGGGACAATAATTTAAAAAATAAATTATATGGACTTTAATTAAGGGAACATTAATTTATGCAAAAATCAATACATTAAAAAGATTAATTTAATTATCAAATACAAAAAGAGGACTTAAATTTAAGTAAAACTTGAATTAATAAAATTAAGTGGTAATTTTATTCAAAAAATAAATTAATAAAAAATTAATTTAATTAAACCATAAAACATAAATTAATAAAATTAAGTGGACTTTAAATGTGGGGACATTAATTTAATTAAAATAAATTGAAAGGTAAATTCGCGAGAGGAACAAGTAAATGAAGAAATATTTAAAAAACTGAAGTGAATGATTTTAGTTGCAGGATTGAGCTACTTTTATATTCGCCAGAAAATGGTTGGTACTAATGCAATTTGAATGTTTGTGCAATAAAAAACTCGTTTTTAGATGTAATATAGTTATTTTCAGAATTATATTTCACAATATCTATTGTCATTCTTTAAGAGTACTTAACAATTTTTTTGAAAATCTATTGTCATTTTTTAAGAGACTTAACAATTTTTCTGGAAATCTATTGTTTAAAAAATAAGTAAACATTTCTTTTTTTTTAATATTTTTGTGTTGGCGCAAATCTTTTGTTGCATGTTGTTACTTTATCATTGTGTTGGCGCAAATCTTTTGTTGCATGTTGTTACTTTGTCATTGTGTTGGCGCAAATCTTTTGTTGCATGTTGTTACTTTGTCATTGTGTTGGCGCAAATCTTTTGTTGCATGTTGTTACTTTGTCAAACATTTGTTTACACTTTTTAGTAAAAATTGAAAGATATTCTCAAGATTTTCTATTTGTGGCTTTAAGTACCTTACACAATTAGTAAGGTAAAAATGAGTACTCGTTTTTTATAGTGGAATTTGTGCGTATAAAAGCACGGAATTTTTTAATCTCATTTTATTTTATCTTATTTTATACTTTACTAGTACGCTCACATTTCACCAATATCGCGAAACCCGGTATTTTTTATAAAAGCGAATACCGTAATATATAAAGCAGCTGGGCTACAGCTATTTTCTCCTTTGGCTAGTGCAAAAGGTTATTCGGCGGCTGGGAGTGAACCAGCATCTTCAGTGGACCGTACTGATATGTTAGCCATTACACCACGCCTCCTACTACATAGCCTTAGGAATTAAATAGCTATATGCTTTATAATATGGCATTTTTTTAATTCAATAAAAATCCGGACCCTCGTAATTACCAGTAAAATAATAGAAAATTAAGTTTTGTAAATTTTCTTGTTTTTCTTGGAGGTTAACTAATTATTAATAAACTAATTAAATTGCCAACAAAAAGGCTGCTTTAAAAATAATATTAGTTTTAAAAATTAATTGCATTTTAAAAAAATGTTTTTAGAATTATTTAAAAAATGTTTTGAAAACGACCAGGGGGGATAGCTACTACTTGAAGAAAATTTAAAAAATGTGTTGGGTTGATGAGGGTTTATGTACAGTGGGACGAATTGGGGGTTTATGTACAGTGGGACGAATTGGGGGTTTATGTACAGTGGGACGAATTGGGGGTTTATGTACAGTGGGACGAATTGGGGGTTTATGTACAGTGGGACGAATTGGGGGTTTATGTACAGTGGGACGAATTGGGGGTTTATGTACAGTGGGACGAATTGGGGGTTTATGTACAGTGGGACGAATTGGGGGTTTATGTACAGTGGGACGAATTGGGGGTTTATGTACAGTGGGACGAATTGGGGGTTTATGTACAGTGGGACGAATTGGGGGTTTATGTACAGTGAAATGTTTATCTGTTTGAAAAGTTCAATTAGTCAAACAATGAGATTATTAAAATTATATTAAACAACTTAAATAATTTTTTAAAATTTATTTGAAGTGGAAAGAGATCGGCGAAGAGAAAATAATTATAGCGGACTTGAAATTATTAATTTAATATAATTTAGATAAATTTCTAGTTATAAAATTTTTTAAATTTTTTACTGCCTTAATATATTTTATTTGTAGAATAAACTAAAATATTTTGTATTAGGTGAATTTTTTTAAAAACAATTAAAAAAAGAAATTTTATTGACTATTTAATTAAAACAAACATTTAAAAAAAGCTTCACAGAGAAAATTATTTATTTCTTTAGTATTAATATTAAATATAGTATTCTACTTCTATTAATTATTATAAGCTTAATTTTAATAAACTAATTATTATTATATTTTCTAATTATTTATCAAAAATTTTATTTTTTCTCAATTACTTTCCTTCGGGTACTCAATTACTTCTACAGGCCCCCAGTGGACTTTCAAATTTTTTTTACTCTTGCCTTTTTTCTCAGTGGGCACTTTGTCCATTTTCGCCAATTTTTTTTCCGCCCTGGCAAGGTGGTAATTCCTCACATAGTCATAAAACATTTTTTGCATTTGCTTTACTACCTTAAAATTAAAAGACAAATCATCCGATCAAGGGTACGTCTACAAATCATATTCCCCATTATAAAAATCCAACCTCTACACTCGGTTTATAGTCTTCGGGCACATCGCGGGCATTCAAAGGGAAGCACCGCTTTATATTTTCCTGCATTTTAAAAAAATTTTACTATAAAAATTAAAATTATTACTTTTATTTGATCCCAGAATCTACAGCGCGAGTCGATTGGCGCAAGTTTTTTTCCGTGGAAATCTATACTATGTTTTACCACCACCTGCCTTTTATTGGAACCCTTTAAAATTAAAGAAAATTTATTTTAAAATGACAAATCATCCGATCAAGGACTATACCACATCACAAAGTTTGCAGCTCCAAACACATTCCTCAAGATGCTCATAGCTATGTTGTACAAAGTTGTTGGACAACACTTTTCTACATACTCTACACGTAACCAGTTCGGCTTTCATCACATTCAAGAGAATTCCACCTCCGATATATCTGGTGATCATAGCCGTAATCCTCATTGCTTGCCTTTTTATCAACCCCAATCTTTTCCTAAAGTAAACGTTTAGTTATATTTTAAAATTAAAGGTACTTCTTGCCAAATGGCTTCCTTAAATTCCTACTTTTGTTCCCCATTTATAAATGAATATAAAATTATATTAGCTAAAAATTCAAATAAAACGTTTAAATTTTGATAAAATAAAAATTAATTTAAAAGAAAAAAGCATATCTTCCTATCAAAGGTAGCAAAATTTTTAAACAATTTAAAACAAAGACAAATCATCCGATCAAGATTGGCAGTTTTTTTGAAAAAAAAGATATAGAACTATTCAAAAAAGACAAATCATCCTATCAAGGGTGGCAAAGTTTTTTTGAAAAAAAGGATTTAGAACTATTCAAAAAAGACAAATCATCCTATCAAGGGCGGCAAAGTTTTTTGAAAAAAAGGATATTAATTTGAAGATATTTAAAGAAAATATTGAGTAATGTTAAATACTTTTAATGATAAAAACAAAATTGAGATCTTTATATATACAAAATTTTTGCAATAATTTGATTTTTTTATTTGCACATTTTTTTTAATTTGGCGTTACTAGTTTTGTATTGTAAGAAGTTAATTGTTAAGTGATTTTCCTTTTTTAGTTTTATTTTTATTGCTTAATCTTTGTTAGTGATTTTTTACAAGTGTCTTTTTCATTTAATTGCTTCATTTAATTGTTTACAATCTTGAAGTTATTTTTTGATTCATTTATTTGTTACTTTTTTAGTTTTTTCTTCTTTATTTTTATTTTTAAGAAATTAACTTGTTTTTTTCTAATTTTTTCTCAACTTATTAATCGTGTATTTATTTGTTTTGTTATTTTTTCACACTTTACAGGATTGTTTCCATTTATGTACCACTCTTTGGTGTTTCCGTTTATTTATTTGTTTTTTTTATTTTTTTCACACTTTACAGGATTGTTTCCATTTATTTACTACTCTTTGGTGTTTCCGTTTATTTATTTGTTTTTTTATTTTTTGCATTGTTTATTTTTTCACACTTTACAGGATTGTTTCCATTTATGTACTACTCTTTGCTGTTTCCATTTATTTATTTGTTTTGTTATTTTTTGCGATGTTTATTTTTTCACACTTTACAGGATTGTTTCCATTTATGTACTACTCTTTGCTGTTTCCATTTATGTCACTTTAATACACTTTGATTAAGAATTTTATGCTTTTTATAATATTTTTATATTTTTGTCTGACTATATTTTACAAGATTTTTGTTATGATACTGAAGATTCTAAAACAGTGTGCGTAAAATCTTTTTTAGTTTTATTTTCCTCTTTCTCCTTTTTATTTTTCCAATTTTTAAATTAATTTTTTAATTTATGCTATAATTTTGAAGGTTTATTTAACAGTAGATAATTTGTTATGAATTTAATGTGCTACCCGTCCGTTCTGGCAAGTTAAGCAATGTTGGCAACAACTTTATTTGTTTCCGCATTTTTTTGTAGGTTTTGATTTTTATCTTCAAATTTTTTAGCACATTTTCTGCTATTATTATTAATTTTTCGGCTCTTATTTTTAGTGGTGTTTTAAAATATTTTTTCTGAAAAATGTTTTAAAACTCCACTATATACTACTATTATTAATTACACGGTTTGGAAATTTGGAAATAAAATTTTTTATTAGAGTAGGAATTTCTTGAAGTAATAATGAATCAAAAATAAGTAACTTCTCAGGGTTCATTATGAAAAATGCAATCCAATGTGATCCATTTTGAGAAGCCTTTTCTAGGTTGACGACCATTGAACAAGGATATTTTTGAATTTCTTGTGGGATTTTGTCTGCTGCAAAGCATCCAATAAAATATCCTTTAGTTATTCTGTTGTGTCTTAAAATTTTCTCGATTTGTAAAGTGTCCATTTTTGTTGATGAAGGAGATGTTTATATCTCTCTTTGTACTTCTCCAAGTTCAACGTCCTTGCTGTCGTTTTTATTTTTCATTAATTTTCTTAGTTGATATGTTAAAGCTATAGCTAACAATAATAGCCAGAGTATAATCAATAATATGCAGTAAATAGTTTGAGCGATTGATGTTCCTGATGATGGAAATTCCTTGCAAAGTGAAGGAAATTGTACATTATTTACATGTTCCATAGATGAAAAATTCGGAATTAGTGGAAATTTTGTTGAGGATGAATTGATAAATACTATTGATTTAGGAGGTATTGTATTTGCGTAATAGCCTATACGTTCTCTTAATTTTTCTCTATATTCAATATTATCATTTTCATTAGTCATAGAATATTGTAGTGATAATTTATACAGAAAGAAAAATAAAATAATACAAACAAAGCTAAATTCAATTTTAATAGTAATATGGAACATTTTTAATGAAATTGGTGAATAAAAAATGAGTAAAAATTTACGAGTATTTATACTGAAATATCTGTGGAAATTGTTCTGTTTCTATCTAACATAAGAAGTGAATCGATTTCGCCCATAGCTACTAGCACAATACCACCATTTGGAACCGGTTCATTGAAGGTCATTTTTATACTAGTCGTACCATTCTTTATTAAATCAAACATCTCCGGTCCATTATCTTCCTGACTATTAGTAAGATTAAATACTAACAGACAAAATCCCCCATTTGAAAAACGTTGCATTGAAATTCCATTACTTTCTAAGGTCCCCGCGTATCCTATAGCCTCCTGCATATCATGATATATTCGCACATACTTCCCATTTGGAAAATCAAGAGAGTACGGGGCAGCTGGAAAAGTAACTCCCCCGGCAGTTATGGAAATGTCTCGTAAATTAAAATGTTGAAAATTAAAAGGATGTGTCTTTTGAGATCCAACAAAATCGGCATTCTTAACCATTCCAAGAACCACTCTCCTCGGCACTTGATCCATCCATAGATTAGCATTAAATTCTGTCCTGTTCTCGCTTATGAATAATGATTTTAGCGAAGTTTTTCTCATTGGATATCGTGCTGGTTTCAATTCTAATTTCTTTGCTATATCGAAGGCAAGACTATCCATTAGCTCAATTTTTTTGATAAATAATTTGCATGCAAGTACTTCTAAGTGATATTTATGATTAGTCGCTCCTGGAGCAACAATAAGGAAATTTGATTCATTGGGCAAAAGCTCAATATCTACTTCACACTGATTAATTAAATACCTAGGTTGATTGCAAATGTCTACGTCTAATTTTGCCATGAATTGAGCGGATTTTTGTGTACCATCAGCTGATGGTGCAAATAAGATTCTTCTATTCTCAAAACCAACACCATTAAGCCCCATATCACCATCATCGTAATATCCTGCGGCGGATAAGTATGAATTTTTTACTGTCTGTGGATACGTAAGTTCATAGTCGAAAATACTTTTATATGCCATAAGTGAATTTCCTTCAAAGATTTGGGTTCCATTTATACTGATACGGCAATTTTTCCAAATAGTATGTCCAATAAGTTGGCAACAGGAAACATTGTTGTCTGCAGCCTCCAAATTGGCTAGACGTCCATGTTCATCTTCTTTCCGAATTCTTAACTCGGTAAAAATATAGCACTTTGATAGGTCAATATAATTTGTGCTTGCATGGATTTTGAAATGAAAAGGAGTTATATTTACAGGGTTAAGTGTGAGTAATTCGATAAATGATGAGTTGCTAATACTAACATTTGTATGATGAGTTTCGAAAAATGATAAAGCATTTGTTATTGCGTTGCCGGAATCGCGATCAATTTTCTGATGAGTTGACATTTTTGTTTAATAAAGACCGAAAGTATCTATTTTTTGACGTTTCTTTTTTGAACTATGAGACGGTTTACCAATAATGATTTGATGACTTTTTTCTTTTGAAAATGATGAATGGGGTTTACGCTTTCTTTTGAGTCCTTTTATACTATCAGTTTCTTGCCATCCGGTTCCAAACTGCTTTGGCATTCCACCCTTCTCAAGTAATCTATCTAATCCACGTTTTCCTTCATTAATCACTGTTTGCTTAAAATTTGGTTTAAATGCTTCCTGGTCATATTCTGGGTTTCCCACACTTTCTAAAATTCTTTCTCCAGTATCCAATGCTTCTTTTGCTACAGCTGTTCCGGCGCGTTTTGCATAAGGTAAAAGGAAGCGCCAAAAAGTTCTAAGTACATCTCCAACTCCACCACCCGTTTGTCTTCCGTATCCACGTTGATAAGGATTAAGTCCGCGAAAATAATAATAATTTTCACCAGTCCCTCCTCCTATTTGACTGAAAGCCGTATGATGATCATCATATCCGATAGTACGCGGATCAAAGGGAATATGAACCATTTAGTTTAAGTTTATTTAGCGAAATTAATCTGCGTAAATTTGACGAACAAAATTTTAAATAGAAAAATTTGGGATAAATTGTAAAACAGAATAATTCAAATTAAATAATGGCGTTCAAGTTTTGATTAACAATTATATTTTGTTAGTCTAATAATAATTATAAATTTTTATTAATGGAAAATTAGACACTAAATAGACGTTTCAAGTGTATCATTTTGTCACTTTACATTTTGAAAGTTGGCATTTTGTTACTCGACATTTTGAAAGTTGACATTTTTAAATTTGACATTTTAAAATAATCGGTTAGTTCCCCTTACATTCTGACTTGCGGCAAT